AGAAACTTTAAGTGCCAGTAAATAGATTTTGCTAAGTTTCAGAAAGGGTTACTATTTTATGATTGCCTGCACTAAGAGTGACTGCACTGAATAATCAAAAAGGCACCTTTAGGTGTTCCTTCATTACGGAAAAACTTTTTCAGATTTGTTCAAACTGAAGCTATTAGCCAGCTCTGAATGAAACAACTGAATTTTTGTTGAATATATTTTTGTGGCTTTTAAAAATTTTCTCCAAGGAGAAAAATTCCGAGGCTAGTACTGTCTTTTAAGAAGAACAGAGAATTACAACTGACTTTCAGTGTTAGAAGAAAAAGCAAGATGAAATAAAGATTCATACGTACCCACCTGGCACGTGAGCCCCTTGCTTTTGTTATGGCACTAGCCTGACTGCACATTTTAGAAGAATCTTTAAGACTGACACTTTTTTGGTTGTTGTTCAAAGAATGATTAATGTAATTGGTGATGTATCACTTTAAAAATTCTTTTGATTTCAAGATGATTTTTTTCTTCTCCAAGGACACTGTCTCCTTTCAGCATTTTCTAATGAATATCCGAGAGTATACCTGACAGGCAGCCAGATAAAGGGAGGCTGTCAAATTGCTTCTCCACAATAGGAAACTCATTTATATGAAACACTCCTACAGAGTGACTGTGTACATTGCAGGAGAGGGTTGGAGGAAGATGACCTAGCCTTTTGATTTATATCTACGGGGGTTCTGGCATCTTGCTGGACACTTGTTGCGGTTAAATAATTATTGAATTGTCAATCTTCCAAGAAAAATAAAACATATGTTCAATTTCACTGTGAAAACCATGCAAAATAGCTAAGTGTGCTGTTTGTATTTGATTTTGTTGGCCTGCACAGTGCACTGAAATCACCGACTGTCAGATGTAATATGACAACCAAATGCTTGGAGGCTAGAAGTATTCTGTCACTGTCATGCTGTGGATAATTTTTGCCAGTAGTCCTCACGCTCATCTGCAGGACACACTGGATCTTATTCTATCACCTCAGTGGAAAATGTACTTCAAGGCAACTTGGTGCTAGTGCAATGATGGGATCCCAGGTGTTAAACCACCAGCAGCACTGTGGGGTACGCACAGAGCACTGCCTCTGTTATTCCTCCAAACCCACCACCTAGCACTGCTTCTTGCCTGTCAAGTGCAGGGAAATATCATAAAAGTAGCTGCAGATGTAGAGATGGAGAAAGCAGGCTAAAAGACACAAGCCCTTGCAGTAAGAAGGTTCAAGAGAGGTGAACCAATATGACTTTTATTTCAAACACAGTCATCTCCTCCTCTGCTGCTGACCCAGGCAAAGCTTCCCTAGCTGCTGGCGCTGTATTCATGCTAGCAAGGGCGTATTAAGGCACCCAGGCAAGTGGCGTTTCAGTTCTGCAGGAGGGCTCTGAGTCATCCTTAAGTTCACATCCTTTATCTGCAGCTTTTACGTTGCCAGCCATCTGAAGGAGCTGTACGCACAGGGTAAAGCAAGCGAGTGTTTGTGCTTTCCAAGCCTGACAGAAAGTCTGCTAGACCAGATGTAGGCAAGGGAATGTATACAGAAAAAGAGAATTACTAAGAGATCGTGGGCTTAGCGATTTGCTTTACTCAAGTATATGCAAGGTCCAACTTTGTCCCTTGATTTTAAGACCTCGTCCAAAGCCCACTGAGTCCAGGAAAACTCTCTGGGCTTTATTGTGTTTTAATAACCAGAGACTTCATTTAAACTATTAACAGCATATCTCTAAATAAAATCATTTTTATATTCTTTGTTCATGGGTTGATGAATAGCAAAACTGATACAAGATCTGGCCTGAGCAAATATGCAGGTCTATTTACAGATTTACAAAGGAAACCTTGCACAGCACCTGCCCACACATAATTCTGGCTCCTGGCACTACTTTAAGGAGTATTGAATTCCTTCCCACCCACACATCTTTACATAAGTAAAAGCTTAAACATCAATTCAGACTAAACAGTTTTGAATGCAGAATCCCTTGAGTGCCATAAAAAGAAACAGTGGTGTAAATGAAACTTTAATTTCCATCATGCTCCATAACTGATGTGCTAAAAACACAGATTTTAAAACAGTGCAGTTTATTTAAAGTTATTGATTCCCACTTCCAGTAAATTCCTGTGCTCCAGCAGCACATTGTGTTTCCACTGGAGGCTGAGACCACCACTAGATGTTATTCAGCAAGTGGAAAAAGTTTCTGTCCTGAATGGCCGACAAAAAGAGGTGCCATACAACCTGACTTCCAACTTGCCACGTGAAGAAGGGCAACCTGGAACAGAATTTCCTAGCTTCTGGTAGGCACAGGGGATTTCTTCCACTTGACTATGAAGGCAATGAAAAGTGGCTAGGAAAGGTAGCTCAGTATTTGTGTCACTGAGCAACATAATTATGTACACACTGACATCATCAGCTACAAATTTTTAGGAGTCCATTGATTAAGGGCAGGTTGAAAATCACCATGCAGGTGCATTAATGGAAGGGAAACTTAAGTCTTAGCCACTGTCACTGACGTCTAGCCTGGTGTGAAAAGAAAGATAATACAACAGTCTCTGATCACATCTAATAATAATGAGGGGCTAACAAAGAGGCATCTAATAGAGAAAGGTTTCTAGAAAACAGCTGATGATCAATTCCACTCTTTCAACAGGACTTCAGGAGATGTTTTTAAACAGTCAGACTGGGGTTTGAGCTTGCCCCGGTGCTCAAAGGTCAAGAAGCTGATGGTTTGTCATTCCCTTCTGACTCCACCTGGCCTTTCGCAGGATGACAGCAGTCTGTCATCTTTTTCACAAATTATGATGTCCTACCATCTTAAAACAGTGCCACTTGTAACCTGTATTTGGATAATGCAAGACAACGAGAGGCCTGGGACATTTTCTGGCTGATCTCAAAGTGGCACCAACACCAGAAGGGGAGGCTCGAACCACCCCCGCCTGACAGCAGCAACAGAACTGCAGAAAAACTGGCAAAAATCAGCTTCTGTCACTATGGAAAAAGCAACTCAGCTTGGTGACTTCACCAAGATGAAAGCATCCGCAGCGTTACGGGCAGGTCAGAGGGGAGGGCCGTGTTCAAACTCCACTTTGCCAGGCTCAACATGGGAAGACCGCGCTGTAGACCAGCCAACTCTAACTGTGTCAGCTTCCACAGTAATTCCCACTGTATCTCAAAGAAATATTTTCGTTACTCCAAAATCCAAACTGAACTACTGCAAAAAACACTGTTGACCTCCTGGACCTAATTCATACTTCACACCATTTCACTCGCTGCAGCTGTACCAACTTTATGGGAATTTACACATTAGTATAGGAGAAAGGAAAAGTAGGTCACTTGTCTTTAGAAAAACAACTTGAATCTTCAGAGCCAATTTATTAAACTGAACCTACATAAATATGAAAGGAGAATCTCAATTGGCTTCAGTTTATGAAGCTAGCACCTGAAGTCTACATTTCAAAAGCATGTGCATTTTGCATAATTTTTCTGCCTCTCATCAACCCCTTCCCTTGTAATTTATGCTATATGCATCTTGAATTAAAGAAAAATAATCATTTTCAGGCACTGTTAACCATGAAATGGATTCTCCAGGTTTCACTGCATATTAATACAATCATTTTTGCATCCATTCAAATCTTGCATAATTATTTTATAGCATCCTTTTTCGTTGAATTTTCCTCAAATATGTATACCTACTCTGGATATGAATGTTTCTATCATAAATACTCCCTTCCTATAATGATTCCAGCATATCTCATTACATTAGGTAGAATTAAAATAAAAAAACCCCCAATAATCTTGTTCAGGTCACAAACCAAAAGCTGGCAGCACTTAGGTAGAAACTGTGATTAAAGTATTGTATATAATCTGTTTGTTGGTTGGGTTTTTTTTTTTACTTTGTTCTGCAGTACATATAGCATTATTCACCATCCAATAAAGGTTATTATGAAAGGCTGCCTAAGAGTTTGATCTGATAAATTATTTATTCTGTTCATAAGATGCTACTGGCTTATATTTCTCTTAGAACTGTCCATAAATGTGATAACAGAGTAACACACTAAAATGAAGCAGAACATCAGTAATTGAGTTGTTCTGTCCCCATACGCTGCATCTGTATTTCCTGCTTCAGCCGATGAACATGAGTGTCCACAGACTGTCCTTATCATCATGCACAAAATTTTTCATAACTGAATAAAAAGATAGTTAGTTTATCAGTATTAGAGCTAAGACTGTGTTCACCTTTCAACAGGCTAACCCATGATTTGTTTACACTTCTCTCAAAAAAATGTTGAAAATGTTTTCTTTAAATCTACTGTAAAGTCAGTAACAGAGGAGAATCAAAACTTGTTTATAGTTTATTCTGTAACAAGACAGCTGCTCCCAACTGGAGGAATTGAATTACAGATCTCAAACAGTATTTTTGCTATAAACATCTCTGAGAACATACACTTCTACTTGTTCTGCAGGGAATTTCTTACCCAGAGGCTAAGCACAGAAAGGCGTTAAAGACTTTATAAAAAAAGGAAGTATTCTTCCATCGGTTTAAAACTCTGTATTTTCATTTTTCAGCTATCAAGAGGGAATCTTCTCAAAAAACTTGCTCCAGGGAAAGCTGATCCTTAAAATCGTAAGAAACTGGCTGGGACCTGTTGGCTTGGTGAGGCCAACCTCCAGCACAAGGCAGGTCAATCTTTGAAGTTAATCATCTTAAGTGGCTCAGGCTTTTGCCACTTGAATTTTGAAAATTGCCAAAGATTGTGATTCTACAGCCTTTGCAGGTGATCTGTTCCTGAGCTTGTATCACCACAGGGAATTTTTTGCCTTCTCTTCTGCAATTTGAAGCCAATTCCCTCAACCAGAGTGGAGTTGAGAGGAATAATCATTTCCCTGGACCTGCAGGCTCCTTCCCCTTTTAAACATTTCTGTTAGTGCTTATCACAAATATATTCTCTCTTACACATGTTTATATATTTAAATTAACACTCACCAGCCACTGCTGAGGTATTTCTGGCAGAGGCATTTGAGGAGGTGCCGGCAAACTGTTGGCAACTTCTTGCTTCTGTACATGTTCTTTTATTTCAAAACCTGTGAAGAGCAACAGACATCACTTAACACTTTGGTGGATGCAAACAGGGCATTTTTTCCACACGTGGACACCATGTCTGACTGTGACACACTGAAATCTGGCACCCAGTGCTGCTTACAACCTACCTCCCAAGAGCAGTTACTGAGGCAGGACTGGAAGAATGCTGGGAATTCAGGAATTTAATCAAGCAGAACAAACACATACTTACTCTATATGATAATGACATATATGCTATTTGGATCAACAAATACCAGACATACTAAAAATTCACAGGAAATCATTCTGAACTGCCTATCCATCTGGAACTGAAAGACTTAAACAGCTAAAATTCAAACATGTTGCCAGGCACCTACCATACAGATAAAACCATTTATGGGGGAAAGGTACAACACTTGCAAACATCACAATGGCACCGTACAGTGAATAAAATGCGGTCAGCCTGTGGGCAGCATGTGGCTGACTGCCTTTTACCAGCGGAGATAAGCAACAGTTGTTCCCATGGCACGTTTTGGATGGGCAAGGCCACCATGCAGAAATGAGTCCAAAACCACCTTTTGTGCCAGAAGAGCGGGGAAGAGGGCAGAAGAAGAGACCCTATTCAGCCAACCCCACAGCACCCGTGTTTCCTGGGCTCCCTGCTGCCGCCATCATCTCTGATCATGGAGCTGTGGTGTGAGTCTGCACAAGTCCTGGGAGATGCAGGATACTATGTCACCCCAACCTGGAGCACACTGCTGCTGGGGGGCACATTGCCTTAACTAGCTCACCATTAACAGAACTGCACACTGAGCACGTTTTCTCACAACTTCCTCCTTTCTCTCTCTTTTTTCTTAATAATCTCATTGTTTTTCAGGTGAATTTGAAAAAGAAAAAGCAGCCAAATGTAAAAGCTGCTTTGACAGTCCTTTGTATCATTATTGCATCTCCCTCCCAGGGAAAAAGAGGAGTGACCCACTCGTTCTGAGGTTTTGGCATAATAATTTAAATCTCATTTGAACTCACTTCATAGGAACATGATATCGTTTATTTTTCTAAATATCAAAAGGGGGATTAGGGTGCATCTCCTCAATGTTCTGGCAAAAATTCAGTCAATGGATTGTACCCTGCTTACCCCTAAACTGAATTTAGCTCCTAGTGTTTAGTTTAGTTTTTAAAATATATATTTACATAGCCAAATTGATGTCTTTTGGTCAAGATCATATAATTCTCAAAAATGTAATCAATGATGAAATGTTTCTTGTCATAATAACCCAGTCCCACTGGCTGTGAAGTCATGGATTGAAAAACAACACTGGTAAAATAAACTGGCTCTAAGGGCCACAGATTCTTCTTTCTTCCTACAAATCAAGAGGGGGGTTAGTCTTGGGAAACATTCCAATTTTTATTTTTTTTCAGTATAACTTTCACTTGTTCCTTTTTATGGAGGGTGAATCCATATTATGACTGCTATCCATATCCACGTCTCCCATGCTTTCCATAATAACCAAAAGTATGAAGGGCTTTTTACTGCAAAGAAAAAGTATTCCAAGTGAATTCTATTGACTCTGTAAAACTGTTTTTTCCCCAGTTTTAAGCAAGAACCTGCTCTAACATTTATTTTCATCTACCAAATTACACAGCAAAGTCGGCATTATAGGTTTTATGGCATCAGGTCCCTTTAAGGAAAACAGGCAATGTTTACAGACATATTAAATGACTAAATCCACCAACAGTTCTTACTCCAAAATAAACTATTTGTGTTTTCATTTTTTAGAAGAAAATCTGAATTTCAGAAGGAAATGCCAAGTGTTTTGTTCAGACCTACAATCCATTGGGCATGCCAAGGCTCAGTAAGAAAAATAAAGTTTATCATTTTGCCAGCAATTCAGAGTAACCACTGGTTTGGATGTGGGGCAGGTCAAGGCCAGGCAGCTACAACCTGAAGAATACATCTGCCTGGCCCAGTTCTCTCTGCTGGAGAGATATTAAATGAAGAAAACAGTGTACATTTGGGAGATGTAACAAAACAAGGCAAAAGAGTTCCAAAGAATTCCCCAAGTAAGAATTTACTGAGGTTAAAGTGTTTTACTAAAAGCCAACCAGCCCATTATAATAATTTCCACACCTTTACAAAGAAAAACATAATTGTCCATTTCCAGATGTTATAAAGAACCCAGCCAGTTCCCAGTTGCACAGATCCTTCATTACCGTTCCCCGTTGATCTTAAATGGTTTGCACCAGCCATCAAAATATCCTGTTGGATTCACACAGTTGATTTTTGCAAATACATATAAAGTGTTTGAACTCAGCATAGTCCTCAGGCCTCTTAAACTGTGCCAGCGACCCAAGAGCTCTTGTGGAGTTATGTGGGTGGAGTAAAACAACATTTTGAAAAACAGACTTCGAATGACAGTTCAGCTTAGTTACAGAGTACTGAGGGTTTATGCATCTTTTATTGCTTTTAATTTTAATGAAGAGATGAATAGTTTCAAAGGGACGGGAGTACTGAATGTTGTAACTGATAAAAAAAGCAGCAGGGTCAGCTCCAGTAAAGTACACGACTCCCCAGGTAGCTTCACACACAGTTGAAGCCAGCCCAGGATGGCAGAGCTCCCAAGGAGGCAGCTCCTCTCCGTCCCTGCCTTGTTCCTGTCCCTGCACCAACCTCTCCTTCGTGCCAGCTGAAGCATGTGTGTGGCCTCAGGTTGAACCAGACCAGGGAAGTGACACTGGTTAGGACTAAGCCAGCAAAAAAAAGCAAATAATGCTTGTGCTAGCAGAAAGGAAGATGCAATACATGATGAGCAAGAATGAGTAGCCTGGGGAGAGAAACAGGATGTTTTTTTAGAGGCCGTGCTGGCTTAAACTCTATTTAAACTGCAGTTCCATAGAGTAAATAGGCATATAAGGCATAGTCCTACGACTTCTTGCTTAACTGAACTATGGGATTTCCTTAAATTAATTCTTGTTTGAACTAGAGCATATCTTTTAGCAAAATATTCTATCTTGATAAAACGCCAGCAATGGCATGCAGACCTTACAAAGTTCTTCCATTAGTTCATAACTTCAATGCCCAAAACATGTGCTTTATATCCACTTTGAAACAAACATTCTGCCATTGCACACTGTGTTGTGTAAGTCTTACAGCTCATTCTATCATTCCTTCCCTACATCAAGTTTAATTATGCTACCTCATTTTGGATAATTTGAAGGCATATTTCTAGATCCTTTAATCACATTTATCACTTTTCTTTGAAATGTCTAAATTTTATCTCCTTGAATGTCGGTTCTAGAACTGGGTATAATGTTCTAGTAACAACTGCACCTAACCAAGCTCCACCACTTAATATATGCATCCCATATGGTTCTTGTTAATGGATGGATCCTGTAGTAGGATGTAATGGTTCTTGTTATAGATCCTGTAATAGGCTTTAAAACCTAAACAGTAGGTGTCAAAATGTAGAAAGCTATGGTCCTTGGGTCTTTTTATCTTTGGCCACATCTATAGTCATAAATTAAGCATGCCTGGGAAGGTGCTCTGGTATAGAGAGATCCATATCCATATGGTTAAAATATCTCACCCCTCAAAACCAGGGTGGAGGGTGATGATCCATGTGGGAGCAAAGATGCGAGGGTTATTGATGTGTTAGAAACCACAGAAGTGCTTGAGAATGGTCATGTAGGAAATAGGGCTTCGTCCCAAAAAAAGGTAGCAGGATCAATAGCCCAACTGAAGTGCACCTACACCAATGCATGCAGCATGGGCAACAAACAGGAGGAGCTGGATGCCATTGTGCAGCAGGAAAACTATGAATAGTTGTCATCATGGAAACGTGGTGGGATGACTTGCACAACTGGAGTGCTGCAATGCATGGCTATAAACTCTTCAGTAGGGACAGGCAAGGAAGGAGGAGCAGTGGGGTAGCCCTGTATGTTAGGGAGTGTTTTGATGTCTAGAGCTTGACGATGGTAACGATTGGGTTGACTATATATAAGAACCAGGGGAAGGTCAACAAGGCAGATATGGTGGGATGCCATTAAGGACCACCCATCCAGGATGAAGAGGCAGATGAAATATTCTATAAGCAGATGGGAGAAGTGTTACAGTCGTTAGCCCTTGTTCTCATGGGGGACTTCAACTTACCAGATGTCTGCTGGAAATACAATACAGCAGGGAGGTTCCTGGAGTGTGTGGAAGATAACTTCCTGACACAGCTGGTGAGTGAGACAACTAGGGAAGGAGCCCCACTGGACCTGTTGTTTGTGAACAGAGAAGGACTTGTGGGTGATGTGATGGTTGGAGGCCATCTTGGGCATAGTGATCATGAAATTATAGAGTTTTTGATTCTCAGAGAGGTAAGGAGAGGGATCAGCAGAACTGCTACCTTGGACTTCTGGAGGGCAGACGTTGGCCTGTTTAGGGGACTGGTTGATTGAGTCCCTTGGGAAACAGTCCTGAAGGGCAAAGGAGTCCAGGAAGGCTGGACATTCTTCAAGAAGGAAATCTTAAAGGTGCAGGAGCAGGCCATCCCCATGTGCCGAAAGATGGGCCGGCAGGGAAGAAGACTGGCCTGGCTGAACAGAGAGCTTTGGCTAGAACTCAGGAAAAAAAGGAGTTTATGGCTTTTGGAAGAAGGGGCAGGCAACTCAAGGATGTTGTGAAGTTATGCAGGGAGAAAATTAGAAGGGTCAAAGCCCAACTAGAACTTAATCTGGCTACTGCCATCAAAGAAAATAAAAAAAATGTTTCTGTAAATACATTAACAACAAAAGCAGGGCTAAGGAGAATCTCCATTCTTTATAGGATGTGGGGGAAAACATAGCGACAAAGGATGAGGAAAAGGCTGAGGTACTTAATGCCTTCCTTGCCTCAGTCTTTAGCAGTAAGACCAGTTGATCTCTGGGTACCCAGCCCCCTGAGCTGGAAGACAGGGATGGGGAGCAGAATGAAGCCCCCATAATCCAAAGGGAACAGGTTAGTGACCTGGCACACCACTTAGACACACAAGTCTGTGCGGCTGGATGGAATCCACTGAGGGAGCTGGTAGAAGTGTTCACCAAGCCACTTTCCATCATTTATCAGCAGTCCTGGCTAAATGGGGAGGTCCCAGTTGACTAGTGGTTAGCAAATGTGATGACTATCCACAAGAAGAGCCAGAAGGAGGATCCGGGGAACTACAGGCCTGTCAGTCTGAGCTTGGTGCCAGGGAAGGTTATGGTGCAGATCAGCTTGAGTGCCATCACGCAGCGTGTACAGGTGATCAGGCCCAGTCAGCATGGGTTTATGAAAGACAGGTCCTGCTTGACTAACCTGATCTCCTTCTATGGCAAGGTGGATGAAGGAGAGGCTGTGGATGTTGTCTATCTGGACTTTAGTAAAGCTTTAGTAAAAATGTTTCCCACAGCATCCTCCCAGAGAAACTGGCTGCTCCCAGCTTGGACGGGAGTACACTTCATTAGGTAAAAAACTGGCTGGATGGCTGGGCCCAAAGAGTTGTGGTGAATGGAATTACAACCAGTTGATGGATGGTCACAAGTGGTGTTCCCTAGGGCTCAGTACTGGGGCCAGTTCTCTTTAGTATCTTTATCAATGATCTGGATGAGGGGATGGAGTGCACCCTCAGTGAGTTTGCAGATGACACCAAATTGGGCAGGAGTGTTGATCTGTGGAGAGTAGGAAGGCTCTACAGAGGGATCTGGACAGGCTGAGGCCAACTGTATGAGGTTCAACAAGGCTCAGTGCTGGGTCCTGCACTTGGGTCACAACAACATGCAATGATGCAGGCTGGGAGAAGAGTGGCGTGAAGGCTGCCTGGCAGAAAAGGACCTGGGGGTGTTGGTCAACTACTGACTGAATAGGAGCCAGCAGTGTGCCCAGGTGGCCAAGAAGGCCAACAGCATCCTGGCTTGGATCAGAAATAGTGTGACCAGCAGGAGTAGGGAAGTGATCATCCCCCTGTACTCAGCACTGGTGAGGCTGCACCTGGAGTACTGTGTTTAGTTTTGGGCCCCTCACTGCAAGAAAGACATTGAAGTGCTGGATCGTGTCCAGAGAAGGGCAACAAAGCTGGTGAAGGGTCTGGAGCACAAGTCTTATGAGGAGTGGCTGAGGGAACTGGGGTTGTTTAGTCTGGAGGAAAGGAGGCTGAGGGGAGACCTTCTCACTCTCTACAACTACCTGAAAAGGAGGTTGTAGCCAGGTGGGTGTTGGTCTCTTCTCCCAAGTAACAAGTGATAGGACAAGAGGAAATGGCCTCAAGTTGCACCAGGGGAGGTTTAGATTGGATATTAGGAAAAATTTCTTCACCAAAAGAGTGATCAATCATTGGAACAGGCTGCCCAGGGACGTGGTTGAGTCACCATCCCTGGAGGCATTTAAAAGACATGTAGATGTGGTGCTTAGGGACATGGTTTAGCGGTGGACTTGGCAGTGTTAGGTTAACAGTCTTAAAGGTCTCTTCCAACCTAAACGATTCTACGATTCCATGATTTTGAACTGTCTGTTGGAGGAACTGATGGAGGAGATGATTCAGCTCAGGCCCAACCCATGCCAAGGACCACTCCGCAATTTAACAGCATAAATAATTGAGTTCCAGGGTCCAGAAACATACCCAGCACTGTTTAATTTACTAGTAGAGCTGTAGCTTTTGTGTCCTGAAACACTACGCACAATCCAGAAGGAAAGGATATGACAACCCTTCCCTGTGTTTGCAAAGTTGGCAATAAAAGGTTGCCTGACTTCTTAAGGAAGTCAAATGTTTTTCTTAAATCTAGTTGAAGAGATTACAAGAAGAATATCCAGTGTCAGAGCATCATTGTTGGGGGTTTTTTGAACTCCTGTAAAATACAGCTGTTTCTAAACATATCAAATTGCAAGTTCTCACCTGCAGATTTTGGTTTTGAGGGGGTTTGGTGTATTTTAATCAGCTTTTGGAACCTGAAGCCTCCTTCCACAATATGTGCAATTGGTACCTGCCTCCTTCTCTCAGTAGTAAAGTAAAAATAGTGATGGGTCTTTAAGAGTATCAAATCAGAAAGGAGGACAAGCATTATTTTCAACTTGATCTCCTTGGATTTGAATCCTGTGGCAAAAATGATTTCTTTACTGAACGGGGGAAACACTGCATCAAAGAAGATCATATTTTTTTAGCACTGGACAAGAAACAAATCATGAGAAATGCAACTGCTCACTATGTGGCATTTTTCTTCAACATACTCCATATTTCTCAAAAATCTAAACAGTGAGGATTTACACTGACAGCATTTCTGTCAAACGTAGGAGAGACAGAGGTCTTATAGCCTAGGTGTCACTTCATACAGAAAGGTGCTGTAAGGAAATATAAGAGTACTCTTAGAAAAAATAGTGAGGAATATTCTTTGTATAAGCTCTGTGGAAAGGCTGCTGTACATAGTGAATCATTTATATTGTATTCAGTTCCATAATCTTGACGGACACAAAAGTGATTGTGCAATCAAAATGGTTTTAGATAGGAAGAAAAGGGGAAAATGAAAATTACTCTAATTGCAAAATGCAACCAAACATGCTGGCAGCCATCTCCTAGCTCTGGCATGGTGCTCCTGTGTCAGCCATGCACCAACTCAATATCAAGCCTTTTGATGGATTTGGGTCATTTGACAGAGACGCAGCAAGGAGCACCCACGCATCTATAAAATGGTGCTGTGCCCAGCACTCCCTGACACAGTATTACTTTTCCATCAAAAGTCATAAATAGCATTACTGCCACAAATAAAATTAAGTAAAACTGCTATATCAGGAGAAGTGAAACATTCTATCTAGCACATAATTTTGTGGCTGGATTCACCCATGTGCACCCAAGATACTTCCAGTATGCCTTTTGCTACATTTTATTGCTGAACACGAAGGAAAACATTCAGGAAAGTCACACTTTGGCTTCACCCTGTCTTTCTGTCTTGCTTCAATTTTGGGCTTGTCTTTAGCCCTTAAAGCTATTTCACTGAGCACAGACTTATTCTGTGCACTCTGCAAGCGAGAAAACCCACCCCTGACACTGACCTTTTGATGACTGTATCCTCAGGAGAATGTTAGTTATTACTGCCTTCTTCTCCCTGACAGTGGAAGTTAGATATTCATGGTCCAGAAGTTCAAGAAACAGGCGCAGCTCAACTATTAACTCTTCCATGGCTGAAAGACAAAATCAAAAAAGATAATAACTTTTTCTAAAAAGTCCCATTAGAAAAAACACAGAGTTAATTCTCATTTATTCACATTCCTAGTTATTTTCTAGCATTTCTTAAAAATGTATGTTCCTCCCTGCTGGAAAGAGACTGCATTCATTAGTAAAACCAACAGACTAGTCCATTAGTGAGGACTTGGAGCAGTTACCTTGAAATTGATGCAGAAAAGACAGTTCTTTTCACATTTCATATCATCAAGCCAGTACTAGACAAAAGTAAGTGCAGGAGTGGTGGCCATCTGCTTTTCCAGCAGTGCCACTCTGGTTCCTCTCCTTTTAACAAACAATTTCGAACTGCAGAACAAAATTAAAGCTTCTAGACAAATTGATATTTTCCTAAATCTTTAGGAAAAGTCTCTCCCTCATCTTATTTCTTTTGTTTTTTACAGGGAAAAAAAGAGCAGGTATTCCTTTTTTACAGTGATTTGTCTTTCTTATAACTTCCAAAGATAAGCTCCCAACCCATCACATAATTTCTTATTACTCCCAGATTCCTGATGATGCACTTCATATTCGTTCTATTCCTACTATTCCAGATCTCAAGGCATTCCAATTCTTTCCACAAAAAATGACATTCCTTCTCTGTATTCCCATTGCTTCTCAATTTTTTATCAACAAACTTCATAAGTACATTTCCACTTTTTTCCTTTCAAATTACCTCTGAAGTCTTGCATTGCCTTAATAACTGCAGTAGCTCAGACCATACACATAAACACATTTGTTACAGCCTAATCATATGAAACCTATTCAGCAGGTTTTCGAGAAGCCCATATGAGGTATTGAACCTCATTTTCATGCCTCAGTTCTCTCACAACTCTGAGATTCTCTGGTCCTTTCAGCAAACCCTTAAGTGGTTTGCTATTTTTAGTTCAAGTTTCATCTTGGATAGAATAGTTCACATTTCCATACTGTCTGTATCTGATGATGTTATCCTCATTAAAAGATGAGGAGAAACATGCATTTCATTTTAGGGCCACACCTAGGATTAATCTCAGTGCTATCCTCATTCCAAAATGCCTCTACTTAAATTTTTCTCTACTTATTCATATTTGTTTTTACAGTCTTTTCAAGGCCTAACAGGGCGACCACTGCTAAGCCTCTTCAAATCTCTAAAAAGCACATTCTTTGCTGCTTAATCCCTTACCAGCTCTTCCCTACTCCTAAAACCTTTTCTGACATGGTTGTTTACCCAAGTGAACCTGGAATCCTTTTTTTCCATTTGTGTCTGGATGTTTAAACAAGCCTTGGTCTAGATACATTTGTTTTATCCGACACTTGAACACAGCACCATGCAGGGAAACCTGCAGACGCCAGCTACGGTCCTGCAAGGGGCTGTTGGCCCCTTCTTGTCTCCAGAAAATGCAGATTTTTCCCATTTATTTGCAGGCCATACCCGCCAGTACGCTCTGGCTACTTCAGCAAGAAGCTGTCTAGAAGTCCATCAGAAATCCAGAGTATTCCACATCAACCATATTACTTTCAGTGTTGTTTACGTTATGGAGCAACGACACATGTGCATACAGCTTTGTGAGGCAACAAGGTACAGGTTCGGATTTGCAAAGCCACAAGTGATCACAAGACTTGAGGAGGAAAAAAGAAAGAGGACCTATGGCCTAAAAAAAGTAATACCCAAATAATCAGCTCTTAGTTATTTTATAAATGATACACTTTAGAAATAAGATGTATATTCCATTAAAAGTACAGTGGTCTCTTGCTTTAAGTAGGCTTTGAATATAACATGTATTGCTATTGTTGCTGTGAGCTTTATTTTAATTTTGGAATATGTTAATCTTTTAATCTTTATTTATTATAATACATGCATTTCAAAGGCTATCATTACCATAGAATCTAGGCAGTCATTGTGAAATCTAATCAGTATACAGTACCAAAAAATTTATATTTTTAAGTAGTTCTACAGCTCTATAAATTACTGTCAGTAATTGCATATATTACTGTACCAAAATTTCTTTGCAATGGCTTGTTTTCTGTATTCTTTCAGACAAGGGACTGTAAATAAGCTGAAAGGGAGCTCTCCCTTCTCCTCTTCACCAACAAATACCCTGTGCCACAGTAACCCCATGTCTTTGCTGAGAACCTTCACCTCTGGGAAGGAAGAGAAAAAAGGATGAAAGCAGCAGATACCATTGATGTGCGCAGAATGCATAACTGTTTTCAGTTATTAAAAACGGTAAGATCCTTGTACTCAGGACCTTATAATCTAATATAAACAAATAGATTGCAAAATGAGAAATGAAAACAGACCAGGAAGGAGGTATGAGGCAAAGAGACAGGGAAGCAAGAGAAGAGGAGATAGGAAATCACTGCTGGAGAGACTCCTGGGAGCTGGCATCAGCCCAAATCTCTCCTGAGGCCTCATCACATAAACGTGTGGCCTTCTCCTCCTCCACCATGTCTCTGGAGGAAATCTGCATTGCAGTCACAGGTGACCACAGCCCGTTGACCCACAATGACCAAACCACCAGTTACTGGAAGCAGTTTAACTGCACCCAGCAGAGGATTTAAAAAAAAAGCCTTGATTAGGACTGATAGAGGATGACAACATGAAGCTCATACCAGTGAGACAATGCTTAAAAAATCCTGAAACCACTGCCTTAGTAACACATCCACCATAAATGCATTTATATTTGGCCTGGTGTCCAGCATCATTGTTCAAATGTCTAACAGTGTTTCATAAAGGAATACAGAGCGTAAGAAGGCTTGTTCTTTCTGCCTTTGTAAGCTTACAGGTATATGACACTGACTTCAAGCAAGCAGTCATAAAAGTTAATTTAAAATGTTAGTATGACAACAGAATGAAATTGTTAGCAGCTGTTGTAAAATGCTAGGCATAAATACTAAATACTTAGACGTTGCTTCTCTTATTTTTCTACTAGGATTAAATTGGGATTGTATTTTCTTTGGTGGGAGTTAATAGCATCAAAAAAATCAAAGTGTGAAGGAAGTAAGTTCTGAGTTTCACTTTATATATATGCAATGATGTCAAACATGCAGTAAGAGAGAGGGAAAACACTGTTCCCGGCTAGTAAGAAACACTCTTCCCATGTATCTTAAAAATGCATTTTTCTTTTTTACTAGTTTTGCTGCTTAAACAGAGAACAAAAATACTGTCATGGAGTACATTTAAAGTATTATTTAAAACAAGGAACTAAAACCTATTTTTTCTAAGATGGTAACAAACAAACTTGTATGTACTCAGGAAAAAACAAGTTTGTCTGTTGTCAATCCTTGGTTTATTTTCTGGATTAAAGAATCTTCTTTCCTCCTTCCTAGAAATGTAATGATGTGCTCACAAAAAGTAATGGAAGTGAATAATAGAAAATCCACATAATGCATATTTGCAGCAAGTAATCATTACTTCTGAAATGGAGGCTAAAAATGAGAGGGTGATGCATGTCCCAAAGAAAAACATACTCCTCCAGTGAGAGATTACCCTTGGAAATCTGACATCACCACAAAATAAGAATAATAATCAGAAGGCTCTCAAAAAGGGGCCAATTTATTTGACAGTTTTGGCTGTATTCTCATTGCCAAAGGAATTACTTGTAAGTGGCAGGTGGTGAAAGGCAGGGTGGAGCCCAGGGATGGTAATCACAACAGTAAGCAGATTTTAGCTTGACTGAGGAGCAAAATCACATTCCATATTAAATGATGAGAAGTCCATTCTATGCTCAATAGGAATTATAGGCCCCTAATGGGCTGCTGCAATTGCCATGCACAAATAAAAAACAATGATACATCCAGAAGGGTTTCCAGGACTGGCTCTCAAGAGTTTTAAAGTTTTTCAAATGATAGCACATAAAAACTATATACACAAGCCAGCACCGGAATACACCAAGGTAAAAATAATCAGAGGAAGGCAATTACATCACACTGTAGTTTTTGTTCCAAACCAGAACTAAAACCAACTGGGACTGAAAAACCATGATGATGCAATTACCCCAAATCTACACTTATGGGTACTAGCTTGTAACCATTTTTTAAAGAATATAATGTTTTCACTTCAAATTGATTAAAAAATTCTTAGCAGCAGTGCTATATCGCACACATGATCTTCAAACTAGAAGAAAAGACAAGGATGAGCTCATTAAAAGAATGGTTCCATTGGGTTTTGGTCACTCGCAGCGATTGCAGTATCTCTTAACCTTGCCACGCCACAAATGACCTGAAAGGGTTTTCCAGTTAACTAATACCTACTGAAAAACTGTTAAAGAAAGACATATCCAGGAAGGAAGACAAGTATTTTTATTAATTATTGTCTTGCTCAAAAAATACAAACCCCACACAAAGTAAACGTACTTCCATGCTTGCATGTCTACTATAAATGCATGTACAAAAATATGTTAGTGTAAAAATCTGTCATAGAAATACAAATTAAAATTCAGCTTCAAATTTTTAGAAGATCCGCTTGAACAGTTCCTTGCACACTACTGAATCAAATGTCTCTATGCTTAAATCTTCCCTTCGCCATTTAGTTTGTCATTTACAGATGTCAAAGGCCGGAAGAGTCCACGTCAATGAGATCCACTAGAAGAAATCACCTAATCTGATTTTCTACATACAGCAATACAGGCCAGAGACATTCACCTACCTGTTCCTCTCTTAGTGGATTTCTATTTACCTAAAGCACATATTTCAGGAAAGCCAAAAATCTATGTCAGCATTTTGAGCCCTACTTTCATGGGGCGGGATCCCATTTAACTTCCCAAACCAAATTTGATTGAATTTATGGATAATACTGATGCCAATCTTCAAGCTATATATGAAAACCAGGTATTGAGAATACGTGTGCTTCAATCCAACTACAACCCAATACAAATGCGCACATGCACATGCATGTGCATACACACACACATGCACTATATTTGATAACCACTAAGAGGTTTTCAAAGTGGGTGTCTCAGCCTTAACCTTGCCTTTATGGTCGTTACTG